CTCCCTCTCCCACTCCCCCTGCTTGTGTTCCTGTTCTCGCTGTCTCTCTCTGTCATATAAATAAATAAAATCTTTAAAAAAAAAAAAAAAAGAAACCCAGAACTTCCAATCCCCAAAGTCCTAGACATCAAAAAATATGCTCTTTCAAGTTCAACCATGTAAAAGAGTTCTTAGGACTACACCAGCATTGAAAAACATTACACTTAAAAAAAAAAAAGGGATTCTAAATACTTTACCTTTTTTAGGAGTGGCTGAGGAGAATCAACAAGATTTAGTGATTTACGGTGGGCACTCAGAACTTTAGTTGGCAAAGTCATGGGAACAACTGGAAAACAAAAGAATAAAGAAAGCCCTTCTGAGGAGGAGGAAGGATAAGATACTTCTTTTGAGAGGTTTGGTGGCTACTCCTTATCCAATACAAACCAACTGAAGGAACGATTACTTACTTAGTTTAATTAATATCAGCAAGAACGTACCATGTAGCCACATCATGTGCTAAATCTGGGAACAAGAACTGAGCAGGACACGGATCTTGCTTTAAGGGGCTGAATTTCCCTTTTCCCTCCTGGAATTCCGGGGAAATGACATAGCATCTGAGGACTGAAAGGAGCCTTAGAAATGACTGAGGCCGACCTTTGTCTTTCAGCCGAGGAGACTGAGAACCAGGGAAGGAAGAGCATGTGAGCAAGGTCACTGGCCCTCTCGTAATTAAGGCATCCAGCTCCCGGGAGTCCGGTGTGCATTTCACTTTGCCAGTGCCCTGTGTTGGAGCTTCTGGTGTTTCACCACCTTTGGATACTACCATTATCAGTACTTATTCATCAAGCCATCTGTGTCTTCCAGGCTAGATCATATTACCTTAGGAAAATAGGGGGCTTTCCAAATAGAGATGAGGCATATTTAAAAGGCACTTATAGACCTCCAGGTTACACTAGTAAAGGACACACACATTTTAATTTTACTTCCTCTCAAACCCCCACTAACATGGCAGAAAATAATTTTTTTAATTTAAAAAAAATTTTTTAAATATTTTATTCATTTATTTATTTGAGAGAGAGAGAGGTAGCAAGAGAGAGCACGAGCGGGAAGGAGGAGCAGGCTTCCTGCTGAGCAGGGGATCAATCCCAGGACCCCGGGATCATGACCCGAGCCCAAGGCACACACTCAACCGACTGAGCCACCCAGGCGCCCCTAATTTTTTTTAAGACAAATCCTCAAGAATAGGGAGAAGCGGGAGAGAAGACAGTAGTAGTGACATTTTGGAAGCGGGAAAGCTGATGAAGGAAAGATAATGGACTGAGCAGACACAAGGCAACCAAACCCCAAGTCTGCAGTGGGAACAACCAACAGCCAGTCAGGTTTAGATCAGAGAATCCTTAGAAGGTTCAGGAGCTTGCTGCCCCATACACCTCGAGAACTGGGGGGTCTGGAAGGGGTATCCAGAAATAAGGAAGACTGGAGAGAAGCTGCGTAAGAAGCAGTGAGCTCCCTAGATACCTTCCTCCAATCCATACAGCTCGGCAACTGCCTTGCTCACCTGAACAGAAGACTAGAGGGCACTTTGAAGGGGTAAAAGCAGGAGGCAGGGCATGTGGCATGTCTAAAGGACTGGGCACAGTCCTCAGGTGGAATAAGCGACCAAACAGCTCCATGCAACCAGACCCTGACCTGTCAAAAAGGAGATCACAAAAGAGACTGTAGACTATCTCTGGGAAATCTACCCAGCCTATACCCATTAATCCCCCAGGGCCCACACCTCCACGCTGAGAGACTGGCATGCGTGAGCCGATAACCAAGGAACAGCCAGCATTTGAGGAACGACTAACATGGAAGACCAAAACCCAAACAGGAAATGTTGACTTGGGGGACCTGGAAACCATTTAGGGAAAAGAAAATGTAAAAACCAAACCAAAAGGCCCTGTTATTAATATTCTTAGAGTAGTAAGAAATTGAATTGCATGCACAAAACAAGAATGGATGCAATTCAGGGAACAGAGATTGAAAACATAATAGCCAAAGTACAAAAACTCAACTGAGGGGTTGGAACAAAAAGTTGAAGCAATAGCCCTCAGAACGGAGCAAAAGACAGAGAAATGGAAGACTGAAGAGAAACTATAAAGCCTTCTCCAGGAGGTCAACACTGGAATCCGAGAGTACCAGCAAGAGAGAACAGAGTAAATGTAGGGAAGGAAATGAGTCAAGAAATTTTTCAGAAAAACTTCACAGGACTGAAAAACATAAGTTTCCAGGTTGAAAGGGTGCACTGAGCCTCCACACAGTGGATGAAAATAGACCCTGATCCAGGCACATCACTGAAGTTTCACAACCTGGAAGCACAGAAGATCCTAAAAAAATTTCAAAGAGAAAAACAGTTTTTGTGAAGGATCAAACGTCAGAATGGGTTTAGATTTCTCAACAGCAACACTGATAACAAAAGGACAGTGAAGCAGTGCTTTCAAAATCCTGATGAAAAATTCATTTTCAATCTAGAATTCTATACCCAAACTCTCAAATGGTTATACAGAATATTTGTAGGTGTTTTCAGACTTGCAAAGTCTTGACAATTCTCCCCACCACGTTTCTCAGGAAACTGCTGGATGTCTTGACCAAAATAAGAGAGTAAGCTAAGAAACAGGAAAAGCAGAGACACAGAAAATAGGAGAGCCAACCCAGGAGACAGGAAGTCTCCAGAAACTCTCCAGGATGCTGGTGAGGGAAGATCCCAGGATAAAGTTGACAACCCAGACATGGAGGCAAGCAGGCAAAAGGGGCAGTGAACTTCAGAAACGAGCAGGTTGAGGGCTGTCATTGCTGTGCCTGCCCCTCTGCCATTGTACCAGTTGTTGTTTTTTTTAACCCTTCGAAACTGTTCTGGAATGTGTTCCACTAGAGGAAGAAATCAAGGAAGAGGAACATGCCAGATTCAGGAACCAGGGAGGCCAACTGAAGAGATAAGCAATAGAGATTACGGAGATTAAAGAGAAGTCCCAGGATGCCAGGTATGCAACGGGCCTGGAGAACCATCAACCGGACAGAAGGAGACTCGTGGAAGCTAAGTAGTACAAATGACAAACTCATGGATATGACTGACCTTGTGGAAATTTGTACTGTGGGCCCCTGGGAAGTTGAGAAAGGAAGCAAAGCAAAATGAAAAGATAGAGCAACCTTTAATAAAGTTAATAGTATTACTGTCTTTTAAAGTTAACTTTAAATTTAGTATTAACTTTAGAAAAACCAAAAAATAAAGATAGTACAATCACAGTATACTATAATGCTCAGTTGAGAATAATATTTGCGTACATACGATAATATAAAGAACGAATAGTGATTTAACGCCGCTTTAATACAATGACATCACTAGGTTATGGGAAGCGAAGTAGAGGAGTAGTGATTTAGGACAACTGAATCCTCATCCACATAAGAGAAGGCCAACAGATACTGAATCAAGTCGACGCATCAAAAGAAGGCAAGATACACACATTGTTTTAGAAAAGCAGAGATATGTAAATGCCAGTTGAAAGTGGTTGCCCCTCTGTAGAAGGACTGGGTCAGTGGGGAGGGGAGGGTGGAGGCAGGAAACCTCTGCATTTTGTTGTCTTCTAGAATTCTCTGACTTTTAAATTATCTCATGCATTACTCTGAGAAGTTATTTTAACAGGCCAAAAAGAGTTAATAACGCACATGGAATTTCCAAACCCTTTGCTTTTGCCATCACGGAAAGTATATCCCGGGTGGAGTGGATGGCACTGAAAACATGGCTGTCTTCTGTCTTCTTACAAAGAGGGGGCAGATAGCACTTCAAGGATGTGCTTTGTAGGAGGTGGTTGATATACTGGTCAAGTTCATCTTCGCTTTCTGTAACTGGACAGGCAAGAGAAAGAGCCAGTGAAAACAAGCTACAGAAATATTCTCGATGTGTCATAGCGACTGTGTGTAGCACGTGGCGCTGAGGAGATTCAGTGGGAGCCAACATTTTGATATAGATATTTGCATCCCCACTCCTGGAGGGTAAAGAAGACATTTACAAAGATAATGTACATGTTTATAAAGTTATTGTTTGGAAGCTCTTCATCCTAGGAAAAGAAAATATAGGTCAAGATAGATACACATCGTACCAAGATGAACTGAATGCATATGAAAACCTGAGGACCAGCAGCGGACATCTGATCTTTTAATTGGTCACGAGTGAACTAAGCACTATGGAATGCCCAGCCCCAATTCCATGTACTATGTAAAAGTAAAAACCAGTCACTTCAACCCAAAACCTTGTTCAGTTTGAGAAATATTATATGCATAGGATGGATTTCATCCCTCATATCCAACCAAACCTAGATCACTCTACCATTCCTTTGAAAATTCAAGCAGTTGTGTTTCTGTCTTTAGAATATATTTTGTCAAGAATCCTCATTCCTGAAACTCTTTGTCCCTCTGGTTTAAAAAAAAGCCCCACTTCTGCAGTTTAGATTTTTAAACTGGCATTTTATTCATTTTAATAGATGCAAGTTTCCAAAGCCTCTTTTTTGTTATGTTAATTACCAATCATTTTCTGTGCTTGAGTCTCGGGGCAATTTTATCACAATGCCAAGGTTTAAATAAATTCAATGAACCACCTGCCAAGGCATTCCAAGCCGTACCTTGATTATAGGTGTCTTCCAAATACCCTCCCAAATCTGAATCGGGACTGAAGCTCCCTTCGCTGGCATCATCAAACAACTTCTCATCACAGTCTGGATCCAGGAAGGTCAGATATGTGTAGAAAGACGTGGTAAGAAATTCCGAAAGGCTCCCTAATTTTACTCTGCCAAGGAGACACTATGTTAGAGATACAGGTGCATGTGGACAAACTTCCACTATGAATCAGAGAGAGACTTTTCAACCAGATGGTGCTTCTGCCAGAATTGATAAATACGTCACTGCAGATCGCCCCACATAAGTAGTCAGCCAAGAAATTAAAACAAAAATTCAATACCAAGTATAAAGTGGGAGCACATAGCATATTAAAAGCCAAAGTGAATCATGCTGATTTCTTACTCCCAAACCCAACACAAACAGAAGTCTATTTTACAGAACCAACCAAAGTTTTACAAAACAGATTGACTAAACCACTTTTAACCAGAACCAAACCAAGCCTTGGGGGGGTCTTCTGCCCTAAAACAACTGGACCAGAACAAAACCTACCATGCAATATAGTCACCCAGGAACAGGTATATGAGAGGAGGCAGTCTCAGAAGGCAAAGTTCTTTCTAGAAGGAATGTGATAGGGGGCCATCCCCAGACCGGAGCAGGTGCCCAGAGTGGCCTTATTACATTTTCAGGCTGGGAAAAGTTCCACTGAAAACTGCAAGCTGGGTTTGGCAGTGCGGGGTCCCAGGTTCAGGGAGCGTGAGGGAGGGCCACCGTACAGAAAGCTGCCACTGTGTACTTCTTAAAATGTTAGCTCCAGGGGCACCTGGGTGGCTCAGTCGGTTTAGCGTTTGACTTTTGATTTCAGCTCAGGTCGTGATCTCAGGGTCCTGGGATCGAGCCCCAGGGCGGGCTCTGAGCTCAGTGCAGAGTCGGCTTGTCCTTCTCCCTCTGCTCCTCCCCGTGCTCACTCTCTTTCAAATAAATAAAACCTTTAAAAAAAAAAAAAAAAAGGTAGCTCTGGAGGCAGAAGACAATAGGATCTGGAGCTACCAGCAGCAGATGAGGACTTAGTTGAAAAGGCTGAGAGAAACAGTTTAAGGAGCACACTGAAGCACGAGATGCAAATGAATTCGTGGGTGCATGAGCTTCAGTGGGCAAATGGACTACTTCAAGAAACATGGCCTGAGGGACGGAAAGAAAAGCCTTTCGTTTAATGAAGTAAAATCTTTTTCCCTCTAGGGCCCTGCCCGTTCTATGGACTCTTTTGCCTTGAGACTGGGGACAGGAGGAAGTGAGGTACAATGGAGTGTGCAAAAGAAGACAATGGCAAGTTTCTCTCTGATGGAAGTTGAAAGGAGTCAGGTCAAAGGTGGAATGGCAGTAATTTACAAAGGATAGCAAGCTACCCCAGGTGGGTCCAGAGGGAAAGTCCGGCATCCAGGGTGAATTCAGCTTTTTAAAGACCCTCAAGCCTAAGGAAAAGCCAAAATGAGATTCAGTTTTAATTATCAAGAACTTAATAGGAAAGGTAGCCCATGGAGCCTAGACATTCCTGTTTCTTTCCACGGTTCTCTGAGTCGTCTGCCATACTCTAGAAACAGGAGACCCTCCTGAAATTTTTAAGCCCTCGTTCAGCTCGGCATGGAGATCAGAGCCTGGTTTCTGTGTTCATACAGAGCTCCTGCACCTATTTATCTTGTGCACCTTGCTCTACTGAGCCTACAGCCCATTGTCTATAAAAGAGGAATACAGCCCACCACGTGACAAAGTGAAAATCAGACGATGCACACAAAGCAACACAAGATGGACTGCAAGTGAGCAATTAACTGCAGACAGTATCCTTTTTGACAATGATTAAATTCATGAGTTTATTCTGAAAAGCAGTTAATTACGGGTGTATGGTATTTTCTCTTGGCTGTGATGCCATCCACCAGGTGGTAGCTTATCCAAACTGGACGTGAAATGTACAAAAGTGCATGTCAAGTGCAGTTATGGTGCTAGCGCTGGAAATGTGGACGGCAAAATGCTGGGGACAGTCTCGCGGACACTCCCAGGAGAAGCTCGGAATGAGGGCCATTCATGTCTGCAGCAAAACCCCGCAGTAAGCTCTGTGAGCAGAGCTGCTACTCCCAGCACTTAGAAATACAGTGACTCAACTCTGAGGACATCAGGCTAAGTGAAATATGCCAGGTACAAAAAAACGTACTGCATGAGTCCACTCAGATGAGACACCTAGAGACGGAAAGTACAACGGCGGTTGCCAGGGGCTGGGGCAAGGAGAACGGGGGCGCTGTTGTTTCATGGGGAAAGAATTTCAGTTTTGCAAGATGAAAAGAGTCCTGGAGATTGGTTGCACAACCATGTGAATGTATGTAACATTCCTGAACTGTACACTTTAAAATGGCTAAGATGGTAAATTTTACAGTATGTGCATTTTACCGGTTTTCTTTTTCTTTTTTTTTAAGATTTTATTTATTTGACAGAAAGAGACACAGTGAGAGAGGGAACACAAGCAGGGGGAGTGGGAGAGGGAGAAGCAGGCTTCCCGCTGAGCAGGGAGCCCGATGCGGGGCTCGATCCCAGGACCCTGGGATCATGACCTGAGCCGAAGGCAGACGCTTAACGACTGAGCCACCCAGGCGCCCCTTTACCGCAGTTTTAAAAAACATTACAGTGGCAGCAGGGTCCCCAGTGTGGGAAGATGTGAGGACGGCTGACTTCAATGCCCAAACACTTAGCAACTGGCATTCTATCCGGGACCCAATGGAAGACTTCAGGGCCCAGAAGGGTCACACCTCACTCAGGGCCGGCTGTACAGTGAGGTTCTCTTAGAACCCTTCTTGCATATTCCAGGGGGATTTGGAGAGATCTGGGCATAGATGCTATCGAGAAAACCTCTGCCTTGTGACAGAGGGTAGAAAAATGGAATCAGTTTTCCCAGGAGGTGAGCCCCCTATCACTCAAGGCGCTTACCCGTACTACCGGGGAGCATCTGGTACTGTGGGCCTGCAAACCGGAGTACGTATTGCTCCACTGAGGATGAGGGGACAATGGTCTAGGCAGGCCCCTTCAGGTGCCCTGCTCTGAGGGCCACCTAGGGAATTTATAAAGTTCTGTGAATTATTCTTCAGGTGACAGCACACTCAAGTCAATTCAAGGAGTGTTTACTGAGCACCTGCCAGACCTAGGCACTGGGTGTTTTCTTCCAGGCCCTTTACCAGAAACAGGCACAGCATCCCATACATGCAATCCAAGAATGCCACCTCAGAGAGACTTGGTACGTTCATCTACCTATGCCCCAAGCCTCCTGGCACCCGTAAAAGCTTCACCAACACCCACAGAAAGCTGCTTTCGAGACGATTCCAGTTCCACATGGGTGAATGGGTAGGATTTAACTTCTTTTTTAGTCTAAAGCTTCATGCTTCTCCTGTTCAGCAATTGATATGAAAAGTGGGAGAAGGGCAGCAAAAAACTTTCAAGAAAGGTCGCTGATACTTAAAAAAAAAAAAAAATCACAAATTACCTGGCTCCTCCAAAATATCCATCCTCTAGTTTTCTAATTGTAGAAAGAACTGCAGAATGAATGTCTGAGCCATCATTTGCTAAGGGTGGGGGAGAAAAAGACAAATGAGTTTACTTAATCTGGGAATACTTTTTGGTTTTGGGGGCATGCGCAGAAACATTTTCGTCAATACAATCTAATTAAAATACCATGAAAGATTCCTAAGCTCAGAAACCAAACTGCTAAGAACCCCCTTCAGTACTTAGCTTTGTCTATGGGACTCGTTTTAAACATTTTGAAAAGGGCCCAAAGCAACTGTGGGACATGAATCAGGCAGATCAAGTTCACGCAGTTACTGAGCATGGTGTGGGTGATGGGGAAGGTGAGCGTGGGACATGAATCAGGCAGATCAAGTTCACGCAGTTACTGAGCATGGTGTGGGTGATGGGGAAGGTGAGCGTGGGACATGAATCAGGCAGATCAAGTTCACGCAGTTACTGAGCATGGTGTGGGTGATGGGGAAGGTGAGCGTGGGTCTGCCCGTCATCCGCCAGCAGGTGCACAGGTAGGCCAGCTCGATCCTCAGCATCTCCACGATCATCTCATTGTCCAGGGCCAGGTAGAAGTGATGCTGGTCGGTGAACTGCAAGTCAGATCAGGCCCAGTAAAAGGCTGTCCTTCATTCCCTCGACACAACCCCAGCTGTCATTCACGGCAGCACTAATCCTTGCATTTTGTTTCCAGAGAAGAGGCTCAATCCTGGCTGTAATCCGCCCCCATCATGGGGCTCTTGCCATCAGGCAAAAATCGATCTGTTGCCTGCCCAGGAGCCACAGCTCCATTAGCATGGAAGGGAAAGGTGCGTGGCCAGATCTAGTTATAGCTCCTCCGATGAGGGTTTAAGCACCTGGCCCAACACCGCTGTCCCTGAAAGGAAATCAATAACTCCTTAAATTCTACTCATTCTACGGCTGCTGGGCTCGGAGGATTTCCAAGTGAGGGAAGGGAGGGCACCGGGAGCAGGTGAGACGTGGAGACTGTGTTTACCCGATGGATGGCCTGGTTAATGCGAACTAAAGGCACTACCACCTGGTGCCGATGAAAATCAAACTGTTCTCCTAGCCTCTGGACTAGTCCACGCTCAGCTCTGGTCCGAAATTTGGTTTTTTGTTTTTTTAAAGATTTTATTTATTTGACAGAGAGAGACACAGCGAGAGAGGGAACACAAGCAGTGGGGAGAGGAAGAGGGAGAAGCAGGCTTCCCGCCGAGCAGGGAGCCTGATGTGGGACTCGATCCCAGGACCCCGGGACCATGACCTGAGCCGAAGGCAGACGCTTAACGACTGAGCCACCCAGGCGCCCCTGGTATGAAATTTGTTACACAGGGAAATAACTCACAAGATTCAAGCGAGCAACATGGGTTAGGGTGAGAAAGAACAACTTGGGGCTACTGACCCGGGACCCCATGGCTGACAGTGTGCCCGGCTGGTGGGGGGCCATGCCCACAGTGACGAAGTGAGCCCACAGCTGATCTTTCTAGCTAGCCAAATGGATGGAAAACATTTGTTTGGGTTCCACAGGGCTACTTTCCTTTGTAACCAAAAACTCTGAAAAAAAGTTCTATAATCGGTATATTCGGGATCTCGTCAAGCAGGTTGGGACCTGAAAATCAGACAGGCTGTGTGTTCCCCAGTCTTCAGACAGCCCAAGCAAGGGTGAGGGACTACTGCTACCAGGGGCATGAGGGAGGCAAGTCAAGGGACAGGTAACTAGCAATTTTGGAATGCGGTGTGAATTTTCCTACTCCTCATGCCTGGAAGTGATGGCACCCTCAGTCTGCTTCAAGCCACACCTACTGAGCCCCTACAGGGAGTAAAGAATTGTACCAGGTACTGGGTGTCACACTACCCATTGCTATCTGAGCACGCGCATGCTCATTCTGCCGCATCCACAGCAGCTCACCAAGAAGAAAAGGAACTTAATCAGAGGATGCATGTGGCTTTGCTACTGGCCTGCTCTGCTCACCTGGGGTGTGAAAGTAAAGATTTGGTTCCTAATCACATATAGCTTAGATGTTCCAAGGACGCCAATGTGCCGATACGGTCGCCCACTCAATTTCATATTCTTATTCCGTCCTATTTGAAAAACAAAAGAGAAATCAGAGTGAGAGCCAGTACGGTAACATGTAATCCAAGCGACTCTGGCTAAGACTGGGCTTATGTTCATGTTAACCCATTCCGGGGTTTGGTTTTTCTAATTACCATCGATCCTTCTTTAAAATGGGACAGGGATGAATTAAAAACAAACCCCACCACCTTCTCTTCATGCATGTATAGACAGCACCCAGTTCAACATCTATATGGAATAAAACTACTGATAGAACTTTATTAATGTTTACTTCTAATTTATTTCATATCGAGCCTACTAAGTTAGATTTTAGAAAAAGAGAATTCCCCCTCCCATTTTAACGGGTAAAGGAGCATTTTCTGAGACCACAGATAAAAATTAGAAACGTATCAAGACACAAATGACTGTTCCAATTGCGAATTTTCAAAGACGGAGCCTTGTTTTACAACCTATCTGGCAAAGGGCGCAGCCAAGCTGGGGCGACATCTAGTGAACGAGCATGAGAACGTGTTCGTCTGCAGCTCCTCTTCACTTCAGAGAGGTCGAACCACGTGCTTTGGTGCCTTGCCCAGTTCTTCACAATTTATACCTATCTGTCCCCCCAGACCCCAAACCTAGAACCAAGATGCCCCCTCGCCAAAACCACCCAGCTGTTTCCCCAAACCTACCAAGCTTGGCATATATGTGACTAAGAATCCGGCCTGGCTGGACTCGGATTGGATGAATGTCAGCAATACTCTGGACGTTTACCCCGTGTTTTCTCAGCAAGTCCTTAATGTGGTTGTTTTCTGCCAGAACAGTAACTGTGAATAAGAATAAGAGCGTAGCATCTGCATTAGACTGTGGCCCTTTGTCTCCTCACATGGAGAATACATTATTGACCCATCTTTCCTCTGGCCTATGACATACACATCAGCATGCTCTCCACACACTGGGTGGCTTTGAAAATAACAGCAATTGTCCTGCTGCTCTTCCCAGTTCTCTCTGGCCTCACCTCGCCAACCCCCATGCTGTGTTTTTATTAAGTGCCCTCAGTGTACCAGACAGTCTGATAAGAGACTTCTAGAAATGGTCTTCAACAGGTCCTGAGCCAAATTACCACATCTCAAATGATGTCTTGCCTCCCGGCGGGTCTGCATTTATTCTAAACCTGTCTTGTGTTCTTTTCACATGGGGTGAGAAGCAGAAACCGCTCTGCATGGGGGAGGATGCCAGGAGAAGCCGGAGCTCCTGTTCTCAAGGAACAGAAAAGAGCAGTACTGTGGTGTGCGCTAGCAGGGGATGCTCCGACCAACGGAGAGGGCGGGGGAGGTCGCTCCCCCCAGAGAGAGGGGAAAGTGGGGCTGCTGGTGGCTGGTGGTGCAGCCTGGCCCAGAAACATAGCACAGGCTCTGGCTGGTGGGGGAAGAGCCACCCCGGAGCCGGGCCCTGCACCCCGAACGGGCTGGCCTGGGCCCCACCTTTGGTAAGTGCGGCTGGCCATCTGGCTCTCCGGCAGGCAGGGAACTCGCATGCCTGGGATGTGGGGGCCTGAGCGGGAACTTGGAGCCCTGCACCTCCTGTACCAGTTCTGCTTTGAATGCGGCTTTCAAGAGAAGAACAGTGCTCTGGCAGAGGGCAGGAGTCCTGGGAAGGGGACTGGTGGAGGGGCATTCCGGCCAGAGAGAGTGGGTGCTGGTGTGTTCGGCTGTGGTAAGAGCCCGCGGGGAACTGGGGGTGCGGGGTGTGGTCAGGCTACTGTTAAGGTAGCCCACTGAGCTCCAGCACTGTACCTATAGGCCGGTGGCCCTGAATGTACAATACACATAAATGCCACGGAGACCTGAAGGCCACCTCCTTATTTACATAGCACATGATACTTTCTCAAAGTGTTTTCATAGCCATGATATCTGAGCTTCACAACAAGGTCCTGTGGGGAAGCCAATCGCAGCAAATGCGAACATCAGCCATGTAGGACCGGGTGGGTGGCCTCCCTCCACATCTTTCTCTTCTGAAGCTTCCAACGCCGTGCAGAGATCAGCGGTCACTCTCCGTACAGGTGACTCTTCTGGAGCAGTGGTTTGCCTGACCCCTGTGAGCCTCTGATGTGATACAGCCATGTGCGGGCAAGTTCCTGAAACGGTACTTCTCCTGCCCCCGGGCCAGACCTTCTTGTATCTTCTCTTCCGTTTCTGTTCTCTTCTGTTACATTGAGACAACACTTGCCGCCGAAGACCCATCAGTGGGCCCCAGCCTGTGCTTGGCAAGGCGGCCTCGTGATTGAAGGGCTCGCTCGGCAGCACGTGTGTGGGGTAAGCGCCGCCTGCGGACGGAGTCAGGCTGGGTCACTCCACTTGGACATCAGCACGGAGTTCGCGCCTCCAGCTGCCGGCTCTGGGGCCCTGAGCGAGCTAACCTGGAAGCCTCATGTGTAAGATGGGGAGGATAATTCTAATTGTCACAATTTCTGTCTGGTCAAAATGTTGTGCCCGCCGGGTGTGCCCCTGAGGGCCCGGAGCACAGTACTGACTGGATGATGCCCCGCAGGGCCCCTTGCCGCATCCCAGGCAGGCGCAGGGGAACCAGTCCGTGGCCACAAAGAGGACTGCCTTGCATTTGTTCAATAACTGTTGTTAATCTACTGAGTGGGTGTGTGTCAATCAACACAGAAGCTACAAGAATAATACAGGCCTGGTCCTTAAGAAATGTATGGCGTAGGGCACCTGGATGGCTCCATCGGTTAAGTGTCCGGCTCAGGTCATGATCTCAGGGTCGTGAGATCGAGCCCCATGTCGGGCTCCGTGCTGGGCATGGAGCCTGCTTAGGCTTCTCTCGCTCCCTCTCCCTCTGCCCCTGCTCTCCCCTCCCCCCTCTGGAAAAAAGAAATGTATGGTGTAATTGAGAGGAAATAAGGCACATACACAACCTCCTCGGATATTAGCTGGTGCCTAAGTTGCTCTGTGAGGCACGTGAGCTCCTCAGGAGCCCTCCCCAGGAGGGAAGGGAGAGGGGATTTAGTGAGCGAGGACCTGCATTGAGGGCTCTCCTCGTGACAATCGCAGCGCATCTCAAGGTCACCCGGTGAGGGGGCAGCAGTTACGACGACCCCGAGGCACGGAGAGGTAAAATCGCCAGGCTAGGCAGAGCTAGCCGCAGTCCAGGCCTTCCACGTCTCTGGAAGAGCTGCTAGCTGGACAGGAGGGGAGGCAGGTGAAAATACGGGCCTGCGACTCTGGAGAGAAGTCAGACCTCAAAGGAAGGAAGGAGTGAAACTTCACTTGGGTTTTGAGTTTCGACCAGGGTCATGTTCTACTTTTTAAACAACTGCAGTGAAAAATGATGCTCAGTGAATCACTTGTGCCCGAACTGCCATCAAGATTTAGATTCGAGAAAACAAATGCTTTGTAGAAAGTAACTTTGTGGCTGGGAAGAGTACCGCTGCCTTTGGGAGCTAGTGAGTTATAGAAGGGATGTCACAGAACTGATATACGCTAAAGCACACATTTTACTTTTTAAACAGAATAGGAAACTAGGGAATCTTTGGCATTAAAAATAACATTGGCTTTACACAGTTAAATATGAATAGGAAACACGCTCACAAACCTTGTACTACAACGTCAGGTTTGACGGAAGTGGAAAATCTTCTGTTTAAGGGATCGATTTCCCCGGTGGCAAGGAATCCCTAGGAAAAGAGGAGCATTAACACTGTAAAACACTGAACGAAATTTCACCTTAAACCCAACTTGGAAAATGAAACATTTGGGGGCTCAAAATATTCAGTGTTTTATTCCTTTATGCTTTCCAAGTCAATTGCTTATCTTCTCTGAAACGCAGTACACCATTTAGATAGCCACTGATAAACATATTGTGTTTTCAGCACCTCGCTCTCCAGGGCTAGTCACACACGCCACCATCTTGCGTGACTGAAAAGAACAACGGTGACTCCCACCTCCTGAGCCCTTACTCCACGCCGGGTCCTGTGCTGAACCCCTGTACGTGCACGGTCCCATTCAGGCCTCGTGACAGGGAGGTACTACCATGAGCATTTTACAGGTGGGGAAACTGAGGTAATGCCCTTAAGCTAGGTGGCAGACAAGGACTTGGTCCTGGGCTGACTGTTCTGAAACACAAAGCTCTCCTCCCTGCTGGCACGGGGTGCTGTTTGAACATGGATCTCCTCACATCTTCTATAAATGACCGGAGTCCTCAGGGAGGGCATCAAGGTGCTCTGGGAGTTCTGAGGAGGCATCGGACCTAATGCTGGGCCTAACTGAAGGCCTTTCCAGTGACGAGGAGGCAATGGGAGCAGAGTTGTTTGTTCCTCATGCCACTGACCCAGCAATTGGAGCTGGAAAGTATAGCAGAAATGATCAAGCCCAGCCTCTTTACAGATGAGGAGACTGAGGCTCGCGAGGTCAGGGAGCTAGTCAGAGGCAGAGCTGGCTTTCCAAGAGATAGACATGGTTTTCCCTCCTAATAAAGACAGAAGTTGAAGACACAGTCCCTACTCCCAAGGACATGACCATGAAATTGAGGAGGCAATCACAGCCATGAAACAAGTGGCCCACCTCAGCATCCACAGCTCCTAAGGGCCACTTCCACTGTGACAGCTTTACTTTCGGTCTCCTTTTACACACCGGGAACCCCAGTGGTATGGGTCCCACAACTCATTCCCCGCACTCCCCCCCCACACACGCCCTCCCCACTTCTAGAGTCTGACAGAACGCCCAGGACTAGGCCAGCCTAACAGGCTGGAGCTTCCAGCTCTTCTCCTGGACTCTTTCATCCACACCTCTCCCCAGGGGCCCAGGGTAGTCAGCTGGGCAGAGCCTCTGAGGACAGATGAACCCATCTGATAACATCACCCATACATCGTCTGGTTCCAGCCACAGACCAGGAATATGGGGGTCGGGGGGTGACGGGAGTGCTTGGCATGTAGCTGACTCTGAAGTAGTTTAGTGTAAATATGGACACACAAGCCCAGGTGGCAAGCCTCAGAGCTGACCCGCTCCAGCTGACTTTAAAACTATGAGATGCCAAAGACATTCACAGCCACATGGGGCAGAGAGCCCCTATGCTCTTCCGGGGTCCCCTATACCTCGAATCAGATGGTTTCCAGTCTGTGAAGTCCCCAAGTCCCCTACCTCTGCCAACAGCGAGCTGAGGATGTACAGGGACTGACCCCACAGATGGGGCAGCTTCCCCAGAGGGACTCTGTCCACTGTGTGGGGATTCTTATACTCTTCGTCAACCTGGCAAAAAGAGAAAAACCCAAAGTCAGAATGTCAGAGGATAAGAAGGCCAACATCACTGCCTACTGGGGAGCGCACTGAGGATTTACAAAATGCCACTCATTCGATCCTCCAGGCCAATTCTGTGTGAGAGCTGCGGGAGGGAGGCCGCAGCGCTAAGGCCTTTGTGTGGGGGCCACATGGCTCAACGCGGTAGAAGTGGCACTCAAATCCAGGCCTGACTCCAGGCCAGTGCTCTGTCCACAAGCACACCGATGGCAGAAGACAGAGACAGGCACGTGAAGCCTGGCCTGCCTCCTTTGAGCACAGCTCTGGGCAACAAGAAGTTCCACAGCTCATGCTTACACTTGTCTGTATTATGGGTACAATGATCTAAAACATCACCCTACAGCCACGGCAGGGCATCGCCGGAAGCTAAGTCAGCTTTCTCCCGTCTTGTTATCCCCAGGGGCTCATAAACTCTGTGTGCCTTTGCAAGAAAATTACCAGAAGGTGGCACTATTTATTGAGGAAAACACTACTGTACTATCTGATCACTAATTTTCCTTCAGGGACTCAACAAGCTGGATCCACTGGGGGCTTCTGCCTCATCAAAATTAGCTACAGTTGTTTTGGGATGGACAGTGCTGGCTACACACTGTAAAAGTAAGTCTGCAATTTTCTCTATTGTAAACTCCATGCTGACCTTTGTATTTTTTTTTTTTTTAAGTAAACTCTACCCCCATTGTGGGGCTCAAACTCACGACCCCAAGATCAAGAGTCACATGCTCCACTGACTGAGCCAGCCAGGTGCCCCCGACCTTGGGTTTTTTGCCATTACAACATTGGTTGGGGGTAATGTTAGTGACCACTTTTTCCCCTCCGGAAAACAAAGCAATTGAAGAAATCCTTCTCCAAAAGGGAAAAAATCACACCATGAGGGGAGTCATACTCTGCTTGTGGATTAATCAGTGGTGTTATTAATAGATTGTTAAAATTTGCTGCAGTAGTAAATATTAAGAAGAACTTAAACTCATAAACTGAACAGAATTAAAGTGTGTCAGTAATGAAGTAATCAAATAGGATAATAGTGTGGCAGGAGAGTCTCTAAAATAGTCAGAGTTCTCTTTGGGAGTAAGTTTGGTTATCTTTGGGTAGTAAGAGCAGAGAGAAGTATGTTCTTCTTTCTACAGAATCCTGGATGTTCTGCAGTGTACAGGATTGCTTTCACAATCCGATTGTGTGTTAAGGCTATTTGAAATGTAAGTGGTGTTAAGAAAGACTGTAAAGATCTTGAATGAGCAATAGTTGATGCAAAGCAAAGGCGGCAAAGTGTCTGGATCAAAAGACAGCTTGGCTCTGGCCTCCCTCGACCCAAGCACCAGCCCCTGCCTCCCCGTGCAGGTGTTGGGGTCTCCCCTGGCCTGTACCTCTTATTTTGCAGCACCGCTGCTGTGCCTGCCCTCCGTCCCCCACTAGCTGGCAGCCTCACAGAGGCAGAGCTGCCACCCTAACCCCTCTGTGCCCCGTACGCAGGGTGGTGCTTTAGAAACCACTGCTGGACAAAAAGTGTTAGGTCTGAAAGGGGGATGAAAAATACCAAAAGGCCAAGCACGAACTCACTTCGTTCTAGCTACGCAGTGCTTGGTTACCTTGTTGGGCGGGATGGCATACAGTTCTGGCACCAGGCGGATCCCGTTCTTGCCTCTGATTAATACTCCCTCCAGGGCCTCTCGGTATTCTTGCACCTAGAAAAAAGCCCCATCCCCACAGCATGAGAGAGGCGCCATTAATACTGCCAGGGGAGTGCATCACAGAAAAACACCTCTCTGGGCAACAAACAGATTATTAGGAGGACACAGGGTCAAGAAATGCACGAACACCTTCCAGTTAGGGAGTGCAGGAGGAACCAGCACTCCTGCTGACAGCAAAGGTTAGAAGGAGCTGAAGGCACTGGCCTTTTCTGTGGGTCTTTAACTCACGACTTCAATATTTCACCCTTAACTTCTCAACGTACGTAAATTGTGTCTCACCAGCTAGACTATATAAGCTTCTTGGAGTGGAGGCCAGACCTTAAGGAGGGCATCCCGGTTCTACCTGTCAGTAGTTTTCCACTTAAAAGGCCCTCATTCGAGCACTTACTGCTCAGGAAATGTTTGCAAAGCGCACCTGATGTGAGGAAAAGGAAGTGTATGTACCTATGATCCATGTACCCCGATTCTTAGGATGCACTACTCAATATAATGAAAGCTGTTGATGTAAACATTTCCATTCAATTAAAAAGGCAGTGATTAAAAAAAACAACAACAACAACAACCACCTACATATGAAAAGGGAACAAACAAAAGAGGGAAAACCCTTAACCAGCCACCCAGGTGTTTAACACGTTTCATCTTTAGAGAGCCTAGTCAAACGCTTTCTATATCTCATTTCTTTTTCTTTTGAAATTTGTGGACAGCAAAATCTGACCAGGGGTGTGTCTTTTTTTTTAAAGATTTATTTATTTGAAACAGAGAGACAGCTAGAGAGGGAACACAAGCAGGGGGAGTGGAAGAGGGAGAAGCAGGCTCCTGGCTGAGCAGGGAGCCCGATGCGGAGCTCGATCCCAGGACCCTGGGATCATGACCTGAGCCGAAGGCAGTCGCTTAACGACTGAGCCACCCAGGCGCCCCAAGTGTGTCATTTTTTAAAGGTCATTGGGCAGCAAGTGGAAAAGACAGAATAGGCATAAGAGCAGTAAATTCTGTGAGACCTAAAAAATAAGGTCCTGAGCACATTCTTTTTTGTCTTCTCAGCTTTTTTGTTTCTAATAATTATCAAGTTTCCTCACAATTGAAATTCTAACTCAATCCTTTTGAGACCTTTCAGTTCTGGGATAAAGAGACAGAAAACATAAGACCCAAGATAATTGCTAAAGCATAACAGTGAGAATCAACAATGGGGGAACATTAACATTTCAAGCTTACTACCATGTTGGGGAGGAAGAATTTTCTCTGCCCTTCAAGGTCCTTCTGTAGCTAGACTAAGAACCAAATTGACATGAGACAGATTAACAGGAGAAAAAAATCAAACTTAGTTATATATATGTACGGGGAATCCACACGGATGGGATATTCCAAAGACAGTGAGGCACCAAGTGGCTTACATGAGCTCCTGAGCTCAGGAGAGGGGTGCGGTTCTGAGGACACACAGGGAATAAAGGGCATTTGCAGGAAGGTGAGAGGAGATGTTTGGAAAACAAAGGTGGCCGTGCTATGCACACAAGTTTCTTAAGGAAAGAGGAACCTCTGTTAATAGCTCTCTTGCTGGTACAGGCAGGCAGCTGAGGGGGAGGTCAAGAGTTTTCCCGAATCTACTGGGTTTTGATTACTTTTAACTCAAAACAATGTTCATGCCAAAGTGGCCCATCTTGGGGCAGCCTGCCCTTGGCCCCCCGATAGCCACTTTTGAAACCACTCTCAGAACTTCTGAGCAGAGGAAGCTTTCAAAACCAAAATAAACCTTGGATTGCTCGTCCCACCCCAGTGCATGTGGTCTGAACGGGTTAAGAAAACACTAAAGCATTTGAGTTTGTCAGTCATTCACATAAGCTTCACGAGGCCAGGTCTGTTCTACTTACCAACGTATGCACGGCAGCAAATGCTAAAGAAATCTGTCTCGAGCAAATGAACGTTGCATGAACAAATCTCTACTCGGCACTTACTGTGTACTAGGCACAGGGAATGTATCAGTGAACTGGACAGACACCACCTCTACCAGGGTGCTCTGACAGGTAGTGGGAGACTAAATACAGCTATAGGGGCCATACTGTGCTAAGTGCTGTGGGACGTATAAAAGGGGCATCGATCCAGCGTTTAGGGTCAGGGAAGGCTTTCTGAAAGAAGAGACATCTGCAGCAGATCAAGTGAGGGAGAGAGAGACAGCTGAGGGAGAAAAGCAGGGCCTGGGCACTTGAGAAGAGGGGAGACAGCATGGCTTCTTCAGAGGACTGAAAGGGTTTCAGGGCGCTCACATCACAGAACTCAAGGAAGTAAGTAAGCAGTAAGGAATCGGGCCAGATTTTATGGGGCCTTATAAAACAGGAGAAGACCTTGGACTTCATCCGAAGGCAAGCAGGAACCTTTCAAAGCTTTTAAGTAAGGCAGTAGCATAATCTCATTTGCCTTTTAATAAGATGCCCCTGGCAACAGGTATAGAGAAACAGCAGGGAGTGAGGCTGGAGGCTGGGAACCCGCTAGAATCCTGTTACATTAAATAAGATGTTAGCTGACAGTACCTTTATACTAGAGCTGAAGACAGCAAAAGCCTAGGCTGGTCTGAAAAAAACAACAGGACAACCAGACCTGTCTGTGGTCGACTGTGGTCCCCGATGAACCCCACCTCTTAGTACTCAGGCCTTTGTGCAGTCCCCTCCTCTTGAATGTGGCATGACCCTTTAAACATTAGAATGCAACAGAAGGGGGCGCCTGGGTGGCTCAGTCAGTTAAGCGTCTGCCTTTGGCTCAGGTCATGATCGCAGGGTCCTGGGATCGAGCCCCGCATCGGGCTCCCTGCTTGGTGGGGAGCCTGCTTCTCCCTCTCCCACTCCCCCTGCTTGTGTTCCCTCTCTCGCTGTGCCTCTG